CTGACTAAAGAATATGACAGATCAGACATTCCTCTCCACCTGCTCCCCTCCCCCATCCCTTTTTAGAGGGCTGGGGAAATTTTAGTTTTTAATCAAAGGTTTTATTTCTCCAGTTGTGCAAAGGAATTTAACTGGGACTTTACAACTGAATAAAGTATTTCTCAGAGTCGATACTAATCTTAGCAAGAGGATATTGCCTAACCCAACCTAAAAGCAGCAGAGTCATTACAGAAATACTATGTTGGCCTTGATTTCTACCCCACCATGAGTTATGCTACTCACCAGGTAGCCTGTTTTGTTTTTTATTTTTAGAGACAGGGTCTCACTCTGTCACCCAGGTTGAAGTGTAGTGTCACAATCATAGGTTACTCAAACTATGCACCTGGCCTATTTGTGTTTTAGAAAAACAACTGCTGGACCAGGCACGGTGGCTCACGCCTGTAATCCTGGCACTTTAGGAGACTGAGGCTGGCGGATCATGAGGTCAAGAGATCAAGACCATCCTGGCCAACATGGTGAAACCCCGTCTCTACTAAAAATACGGAAAAAGTAGCTGGGCGTGGTGGCATGCACTTGTAGTCCCAGCTACTCAGGAGGCTAATCAGGAGGAGAATCACTTAAACCTGGGAGACAGAGGTTGCAGGGAGCCGAGATCATGCCACTGCACTCCAGACTGGTGACAGAGTGAGATTCCATCTCAAAAAAAAAAAAAGAAAAGAAAAGAGAGAAACAACTGCTGGGGAGATTGTGAAGGATTAGAGGGAGCAAGTCACGGATGATGGTTGGGAGAACAGATGTTATACACACCTATGTCCCAGAGGTGGAAAGGGTCATCAGCCAGAGGAGTAACCGCCCTCTCTTCTCAGCTGTTGTGCTTGCACTCGTGATTGGTATAAACTGAGGGAGCAAATGTGTCCCCTTATTCACGTTGCCTGGGTGTGCGGTGAGCAGACAAAACATCAAAACATATTTTTGTTTGGCTTAACTCTGGCTAATCAGGAACTAGAAGGAGTAGACAGCTTAGAGACTGAAAGTTGGAGTAGGAAGAAGTTGACAGGTTGGATTAGAAGATAGCCACTTTAGGCTGGGTGCGGTGGCTCATGCCTGTAATCCCAGCACTTTGGGAGGCCGAGGTAGGTAGATCACCTGAGCTCAGGAGTTTAAGACCAGCCTGGTCAACACAGTGAAACCCCATCTCTACTAATAATACAAAAAAATGAGCCAGGCGTGGTGGCAGGCACCTGTAATCCCAGCTACTCAGGAGGCTGAGGCAGAAGAATTGCTTGAAGCTGGGAGGTGGAGATTGCCGTGAGCCAAGATCTCCCCACTGCACTCCAGCCTGGGTGACAAAGCGAGACTCTATCTCATTTAAAAAAAAAAAAAAAAAAAAAGAGGCACTTTAGAGAGCCAAGGAGAGGGTGTCTGGGTACTTAGGGCAAAAGCCCAGTTGAGGAAATGCTGGGCGTGACAGCTAACTGGGGATTTTAGTACTCCACCTGGGAATGGAACTTCAACTTGAGCTAATAAATTAAATCTAGAAATCAGCTCCAAGACTAGAGAAAGTGCCTGCTTTGCTCCTAGTGGAAGCTGCTAGGAACTGAGAAGTCAGCCCTGTGTGTCATAGGCCAGTCTGTGCCTAGCTCCATAAGAAAGCTCTGTGTTGTACTTAGCCTTGAGATTCTCATCCTTAGATGATGTGGGCACCCTGAGATTATGTGGAGGAGGGCAGAGAAAAACCAAGAGCAGGGTCAATGACATGGAGAGCAACAAGCAGAGCCCCTGTGGCATTTGTAACAGAGGTGACCCTTTGTAACTGTAGCCCAACAATGTTTCAATAAAAGCCATAGATTTGAGCCAAATCATTTTTTGATTCATTTATCCAATAAATAATTATTACCCCCTAGATGCCAGTTACAGATAGTTTATTCATTGGCAAAAGGTGGAGGTAGCTGATTGACAGGAGGGAAAGGTTCAGTCTTGCTGTGGATGTCATATTCCACACGCAGACAAAAGGCGTGTCCCATGAAGCCGGCACGGGCTGTGGCTGAGTTTGCTGCATAAATGTGCTCAGATGACAAGCATCTTAACTTAATCTGAAGTTTTCTCACCCACTGTTTTTATAAGTATCCACCTCAATTTGTGTTCTCATTCTCTTCGGAAATTCAAAGGATTGTTGTTGCGTGTTTGCATCCAGAGTCCAGGACTGCCTGACTGGGAGTAAATGGGAATGTGAGTTACATCTTGCCTAATGAAGCTTACGTGGCGACAGACCTGCCTAGAGTCAGCATGTGTCCTTTCCATGGCCTGCTCTAAATCTTCCTACTTTCCTTTACCATCTGTCCTCACATACAAACTGTAACCCACTACCCATATCCTGTGGCAGACTACAGCTCACATTAGCCATTGAATGCAAATGAGCCTCAATCAAAGAAGAAAGGAAATTAAAATTTACAGTATGTGTCTTCTCCGATTGGCCTGAGAAGCCTCCATGACTCTCATAGCTACTTATTGCCCTTGGCATGCTGGTATTTTATGTGGGCAGGGTGAAACTGGCTGTGGTCAGGGTGAGACTTGAAGCTTTTGATTTGTTCCCTTATTTTGAAAGGGTTAAAAAGATGTTACATGTTTTGGTGTAATTTTAGTACTCGTATTAATTCTGTCACATCTCTGTAAGCGAGGATGAAAAGAGAGTGCTCAATCACTGTTACTAGATCCATATTCTTGCAGAGAACAAGTCTTCAAAAGGCAAGTTTTGATGACGCTTGGGTTTTTTCCCCCTTTTAATTTCTTTTAAATAACAGCTTTATTGAGTGAGAATTCACCTACTACCAAATTTATCCTTTTAAAGTGTACGATTCCGTGGTTTTTAGTATATTCATAGAATTGTGCAACCATCACCATTATCTAATATCAGAACATTTTCATCACCCCTGAAAGAAACCCCACCCCCATTATCAGTCACTCCCCTTGCCTCCACACCCGCCCCCCACCCACAGCCTGTAGCAATCAATATTGTATTTTTGCCTCCGTGGATTCATTCTCCTGTTCTGAATAATTCATATTAGTAGAATCATACCATACCATGGTCTTCCGCATTCGGTTTCTTTCCCATCACATACTGTTTCCAAGGTTCATCCGGGTTGTGGCCTGTGTCAGTACTTCATTTCTTTTTATTGACAAATAATATTCCATCGTATGGATATGCCACATTTTGTTTATCCATCAGTTGATTGACATTTTGGTTGCTTCTACTTTTTTTTTTTTCTTTCTTTGAGACAGAGTCTTCTTCTGTTGCCCAGGCTGGAGTATAGTGGCGCAGTCATAGCTCATTGTAGCCTCAACCTCCCAGGCATGAGCCATCCTCCCGCTTCAGCCTCTCCAGCAGCTGGGACTACAGGCATGTGCCACTATGCTAAGCTAGTTTTTTGTAGAGACAGGGTTTTTCCACGTTGCCCAGGCTGGTCTTGAACTCCTGGCCTCAGGTGATCCTCCCGCCTTGGCCTCCCAAAGTGCTGGGATTACAGGCATGAGCCACTGTGCCCAGCCACTTCTACTTTTTTGCTATTATGAATAATGTTGCTATGAACATTTGTGGAGAGGTTTTTGTGTGGATATGTGTTCCTAGTTCCCTTGGGTATATACCTAGGATTGGAATTGCTGGGTCATAAACTATTTTATCCTTTTGAGGAACTGCCAATTGTTTTCCAAAGTGACTACACCATTTTTCAATCACTCCAGCAATGTAGGAGGGTTCCAATTTTTCTACGTCTTCAGCAACACTTATTGTCTTTTAAATGTTATTTCTTCTTTAATGAAAAACTTCATTTATGCACGTGGTAACACACACACACACTTACAATGGAAAGCCAAAAGTCTCCAGCCCTGTTTCACCCCTCCTTAGTCCAAGTCCCATTCCCAGCAAACCATCTTCCTTTTTGTTTTTAGTTTTTCCATGACTATCATTATAATTCCAAAGATTTCTTGATTCATTCATTATTGTTTTTTCTTTTTATTATGAAAACTTTCAATTATGTATAAAAGCAGAATAGTATAATCAACCCCCTGTACACATCCCCAGCTGCAACAACTGTCAATCTATGACCACTTTTACCAACTGTTTTTTGCTTTATCAATGTTAGATATCGTATATTTATTTCCCTATTGAAGAAAGAAAATTTACCTAATTTATTCTACCTCTTCCAAATTTTTATAGTAAATTATTTTTCATTCTTCTATTACCTTTGTAATTTTGATAAATCCCTAAACCTTGTGTTCTTGTTCCATCCACCGTAGACAGTGTTATTTAACTCCCCCTTCTCCATGCAAGCTGGAGATAGCAGTGCCCACCTCTCTTTCTTTTCTTCTGCTTTCCCCTCCCAGCTTTTTCCAGCTATAGCTCTTATATTGTTCCATGGATAGCAATTTGTAGTCTGTTCTCTAATCATCATCAAGTCTTCTGTGCTTTGTCTATTGGTTGGTTCTAAGACTTGAGAGTCAAGATAATTTACATTATTACGACTTTAAATATCATTCACTGTAGAGCCATGTGGTGTACTAAGAATTACTTCTTTTTTTCTGTAGACTCAGTATAACAATCCTTGTGCCAATGGGGGAAGAACATTTTAGACATCCAGTTGATACCTTTTCTGTTGAGAAATATATGGTAATCCGTAGCACTCATGGACCCACAGTGTCTTATTTACATCTTGTGTGGCCTTGTATTCTTTAATTATCTTGTGCATTATATCCCTAACTCGAGAGGGAGCTCCTTGAGGGGGAAGTAGTCTTTCCTGTTTTGCTCCCACAGCATTTATAGTCTCTTGGTAAATTAAATTGATTTCCCTAAAAGTTGCAAGCCATGATTTCATTTGTCAAGTAAACATAGCCAATACTTCAAATGCCATTGCTGTTAGATTCTATATATACTTTATTTTATGATGAGTTATAAATATATAAATATTTTTAAAATAAAGCTATTAAAAACTCATAAATTAAAATATTCAGCTCCGACACTTTGAATATTTCTCTTTCATGATCGTCTTTAGCCTTTCCAAGAAGTCTTCCAACGTACTCTGGCTGGCTTCCTTCACAGGACAGGAGTTCTACAAAAGAAGCATTTAATTAGCTTGCATTGGTAAGCATTTGTCTTGCCTGCCTGTCTACTTGATCAAGCCTACTCTGGTACTTGCCACCTGAACACTTACCAAACCAAGGCCTCCAGTCTAGCCTGACTGGGAGTCGTCTCTATCACTAGGCCAGCAGGTGTTGCCTGTTTTGGGTGCATACTACTTACACTTCTAGAAATGGTTACTGTATACCATTACCTATCTGCTTTTGCGGTGGGCAGGGCGGCGGGGAGTGCAGTCTCTGGAGAGGTGTGTCACAGCTAGGTGCTTGCTCAGAGGGTAGAACTTGAAGGTGCTGGCTCAGACCTGCCCGTGCTCTACTGGGCCTTCTGCATGGCTGCCTGGACTGCTGAGAGAGATTCAGTCATGTGGCCCTCCTGTCATTAAACAGCAGCACTGCAGCACAGCAGCCCTAAAGGTGGGAAGGGTTCCAGATGCTACCCCCAGGCCACTGCTTCAGTTTGAATCTCAGCTCTACCATTTATTAATTGTATTGCTGAGAACGTACTACTTAATTTATAAAAGCTTCAGTTTATTTTTAAAGTCGGGACAATTGTTTGCCTACTTGCCTGCTTCATAAGATAATGGAGAGAATTAAAAGAGAACATGTGTTGTGCCAAGTTCCTATCCCATGACCTATCCCATTGTCTACAAGGTGATAGGCCCAAAGAAGGGATACATGTCCTTGTTCTCTTCTAAAGCCAATTAATTCCTCCACTCGATATTAGATAACACCCACTCTGGGCCACAAGGACTTCTGCCCTCTAATGATTCCTCCTCCTTCTCCTCTCTTCAGTTCTCCCTACTCCACCAGACCGTTCCCCCAGGTGCATTAGCATGCTGGGTATACACCCCACCTTAAAAGAGCTTCCCTCACTCCATAACCGCCCTGCAGCCATGGTTCAGTTTCTCTGCAGCCTTATAGCTAAACACCTTCAAAGAGTGTTCTGCCCTCACTGTTCCTTCTTTGGCTTCTCTCACCGCCCCATCCTCGGTGAGCCCACTCCAGCTGGACTTTCCTTCCTGCTTCTCCATTTACATCAGCCTCACCCATGACCTCCATCAGTCAAACCCAGGGGCCTTTCTCAGTCCTTACCTGACCTGACCTTTCAGTACATTTGAAACAGTCGACCCTCCCTCCGTGAGTGTCCTCACTGGCCTCCTGGGATACCGCCCACTCTCCAGTGTTCTCCTGCCTCACTGGTCTGAGGAGTCTCAGGCGCCTTTACTGGATCCTCCTCTCCTGACCTCCATGTGTTGATCTCAGGCTCAGTCCTTTGATCTCTCCCTTTCTGTCATTCAGACTTTCAATAGCATCTATCTAAGGACTCTCCTTTTTGTACTGCAAGTTCTGACCTCTCCTCTAAGTTCCAGACTCTTCTAACCATCTTCTCAACATCTTCACTTGGCTGTCCAACAGCCACCTTACATGTACAACGTACAAAATTGAACTCTTGATCTTCTGCTTAACCTCCAGCCCTGCCTTGCCCCCAGTCTTCCATCGCTCTATAAACGGTACCAACCATCGCCAGACGGGTTTAGGCAGGAACGAAGAGGTCATCTTTTCCTCCCCTGTATCTTACCCCTTACAACTGATCTGTCAGCAAATCTTTCTGGTTTTATTTTTAGTCATATCCCAAATCTATCCACTGTTCCCATCCTGTCCATGCCACCATCATCTCTAGCCTGGTTTACTGCCTCCCAACAGGCCATCTTGCTTCTATGCCTCCCCCTTTCAGCCTATTTACCACACAGTAGCCAGACTGACCCTTTTAAATCACGTAAATCAGATCGTACAGTCTTTGCCCTGCCCAGAGCTCTGCAGGTGTTCCCTGCCATACTCGTGGTGGAATCTCAAGGCCTTGTGTGATCTGCTGTCCTAGAAACTCCCCCTCACTCACTGTGATCCAGCCACACTGGCCTTCCTACTGGTCTTCAAATACAGGAAGTTCATTTCCATCCTAAGGCCTTTGCATAGCTCCTCCTTCTGCCTGGAATGGTCTCTCCCCAGTTAGTCATGTGGCCTGCTCCCTCACTTAATTCAAATATCTGCTCAGATAATGTCACCAGCTCCTAAGTCAGCCCCCTCCCCCATGACCCTTACATTCTTTATTCCTATGTTTTTCTTTGTAGCACGTATCACTACTGGGCATCATTTTACATGTTTGTTTTTCTGACTCTCCCACTAGAACATCCCACGAGAACAGGGACTTGGCCTGCGTGTCTTTAGTGACACGTCCTCAGCACCTAGAACCGCACCCAGCACTTACGGAACTTCAACAAATACTTAGTGAATGAGTGAATGAATGAATGGGTTGACCAAGGGTGCTGCAGCTCCTAAGGAGGAGTGTTTAGAAGTGAGGCTGCTGTCCACCAGGAGCCATGCTGCCAGCTTGCTAGGAATACAGTGCAGCTTACCAAGCCCGCCAGGCCCCAGAGGTTCCTGTCGAGCCGTTTCAGGAATCGGATCAGCTGCTTGTGCCTGTGAAACTGCTGTGCAGTCGCACCCAGGCAGCGAGTGTCCTTCTCATGGTGGCTGTAGAACTGCCGGAGCACAGTCGCAGCCCTGCAGAAGGTTTCCTTCTCAGTTGTGTTCTGGAAAGACAAATGCCATAGATAGCCATGTGCCAGCTCCATTTGGAGGATGGGAAAGAGATTTTTTCCTCTTGATTTCTTCTTTCCAGAGGGACAAATGGAGGTGAGTTTGCTCAACTACAGACCTGTCTTCAAGTATTCCACTGAAGGAAGGCTGTTTGCCACAGACACAAACCTCTGTCAACAACCTCTCCCAATTGCAAACGCAGCAGCCTTCTCCCCAGAACCCCCCAGTTTCTTTTCTCTTGGAGGATTTTGCTGAAAGGGTACCTGAATAAAGCCACCCCGCAAGGAAAGGGCACAGTGGGGACTAGAATGCAGGACTATCTATCGCTACAGCCCACGTTCCGCATCCGTATCTCTATACCCCATGAGCTATTCTGCTATGGACAGTGCCCACATGAGCTCTCAGTCAGGTTCTGCTCTCGTTCCCAAAGGTTTTAAAATCCAGCTTTCCCTGGAAATCCTGCATGCCTGTTGAATAAATGAGGGCACATCCTTTGGCCTGGACTCTGCTGCTTTGGGCAGCACTATCCGTTTGGTCCTCCCCATGGGAGAGGAGAGCAGCACATGGTCCAAGTGAGGAGCTAAGACATTACCCCAGGCAGCAAGAGATAAGTGTACAGATTGGGGAAAGGTGTCCTGGGAGATCAGGGGAGGCTCTGGGAGCAGGTGCCATTGAGCTGAGCGTTGGGCAGAGTTTCTGTAAGGGGCCTTTTGGCCCCAAATGGTGCAGAGTGAGAATCTCCCTGAAATGCTGGCAACTGTGAGGGTCTGGCCACATGGCTCTTCCTGGGGCCCTTAACCTTAGAGAAGGGAATGGACACACAGGGAGACAAGTCATTGGGAACCCAGGAGAGGGATTTTGTCTCGGTCTGAACTGGTCTGTCCTCTCATTTTTCACTGAAGAACAAAGATGCAGAACTTGGAGAGGGTTCTTAGCTTGAGCCTAGTTCCTTTATCCAGTTGAGATAAAGCTATCCCCAGCCTCTCCCCCGACATGCTCTGGTCCCTTGCTACTCAAAAGTGTGGTCCATGACCAGAATCATGGACATCACTGGGAGCTTCTTAGAATACAGAATCTCAGACCACCCCTGCCCCACCCAGACCCTCTGAATCAGAACAGTGACAAGATCCTCAGGGATTTCTATCAGCAGCACTGTCCAAGCAGCTTTCAAGTTCTTACGGTTACATTTTTTTTTCTGATGATCAAGGTAACGTGTATTTACTATAAAGGTAATTATATATTCAACAAAAGTACATTCACTCATCCCATCAGCCAGAGGTAACTACTGCTGTTAATATTTTGGTAAATATCATCACACTTTAAAAAACACTTTTTAAAATAGGGATCAACTGTTGATACTGTTTTGTAACTTTTTTACCCTTTGCATATACTATAAGCATTTCCTAAGCCCTTCGGTGGTATTTGAGAACATGGGTTTGAGAGCTGCATAGAAACGTATTGCATAGTGGTGCTGTCATTTGTCAGGCCCCTTTACAATTGTAATTTGCCTTATTTACAGCAGCTTTCTCTTTCTGTAAATAAGTGGCAGTGAGTAAACTATATAAATCTTTGTGTTCATCTCTTATTTATATAGGCTACATTCTAGGAATGCAGTTCATATTTTAACGTTTTTTTTTCAGGAAGATCTAGACCCAGATTGAGGCACCAGAATCCCAGGCTACGGAAGCTTCCCCTTTCCTCTGTGGGGCGTGAGATGGGCAGAGCGGTTGGAAAGACATTTACTTAATGAACTGACTGAGAGTCACTCCTGGTTCCTGATTCTAGTTGGAAATACAAGAGTGTGTCAGTATTTTTGGGCTCTTGGAGCCAAGAAACAGACCTCTCTGTGCTTTGTGGGCGAGTCGAGGTGGAGGGGACACAGGGGCTGGTGGGGGGCGGCACATGCTACCTGAGTGTCTGGAGGTGGGCAGACATGCATGCTGCTGCAGAGGGAACAGTGAGCTTCAAGAAGGCCAAAAAGCCTTTGCTTCTTTTCCCACAAACCTTGGTGAGATTTTTCTGAAATGCTGGCTTGGACCCTGGAAATTAAACTTAATTTTGACCCATATATGGCCACATAGTATAGGAAAAAATCCTCTAAAGATATTTTTCAAAGGACTTTCTAAAGGAAACAAGGATAAAATAAGAATTGAAAAGAGTCTGCATTAAATGGAAAAACTTTAAAAGAATACATCCTAAGGGCAGCTTTAGTGCGGCCTTTACGTTTTAGTTGCTCTGGTATCGCAGCGAGGGGGCGACACTCCATCCCTGCTGTGACCCTGGACTCCTTCTACCTGCCTGTCTAGCTCCGGCTGCTGAGTGTGTCTGCCAGTGGCTCAGGGAGTGCACTTTGACAGCCTGGCTGACCTCACCGTTCAGAACTGCTTAGGGAGTGACTGAGAAGGAGGTCTGTCCCTCCCGGGAATGTCAGGAAACAGCCACTTAGGAGATTTCTTCTGTGGCAGTGACTCTGTGAGAGTTCTGACTTGGTTCTTGACCAGCCTCACTGAGGACCATACAAATCCAGCCCGACTGGCACTGCATTCATTATCTCCCATCCTGCCCAGGGTAGTCAGCTAGTGCTCTATATGAGAAACTCCTTCAAAAAACAGAGATATTTGAGGTTCATTATGGAACTCTCTGTAGAATTATGAACTTTAGCTCTCTTTGGTAAGTAGGAAATAGCTCCATCTACTTGTCCACCCAAGAAACCCTTCATCGACCAGCCAGCTTGCTTCTTCCCACTTTGCTGTTCCTCAGACAGCCTTGACTTCATAGACACCCCAACAGGTGTTACCTATGAAGCCCAGGACCTAGATCAGTGCCTTCTTTCCAGCAACTGCCAAGAGTAGAATGCTACCCAACTTAGAGATACTAAAATTCTTGTTCCCCCCGAAGAAATAAAATCAATAGGCTGGATTTTGGAAAGATGTTTTCTTTGGGAACACAAAGAAGTACCTTTTCCTCTGCATACCACCTTTGTAGGTTTTTGAAAATAGCAACATTTCACTGTTCTGAAATATCTTAACATGTAAGTAAGCAGTGCTGAATCTTCAAGGGGAAGAAAAGAGTAGAAGAGTGAGATTGAGAACTCCAGGAGGATGAAGTTCGGGGAAGGCGAATGAGACAGGTAAGAGTAAAGGCAGGCAGTGGGGATTGTTCTAGGAGATGTCTGTGTGTGTGAGAGGGAGGTGAGTGAGGACTGAGTGAAGAGGGGAGTTAAGGACGGGAGGGCAGTGGTGTCCTCGCCTGCACCTGGAGGTCTTCCAGAAACAGCCCAGATGGATAGCCCCAGGCTCAGCATCCTGGAGGGTTTGATCCTTTCCAACCTGGGCACCTCCTTCTTAGAATCATCGCTTCTCTGCAACGTGTCCTTGCTTTTAATCAGGGTTATATCATCTCACAATAACCCTTTCCACTAACTCAAGAACTGGATTCCAATCAACCTTGCAATCACCTTCAGAATCACTTTCGTATCTTCACACGTGGAAACTGAGGTGCAGAGAGGTGTGAAGATGTGCCGAAGGCCAGCCACACAGCTGTCAGTGGCAGAGCGGGGTCTAAAACCATAGGCAGTCTCACCTCCAGGCCCTCAACCCTCACCCTTCCTCCAGGCCTGACTTCTAGTGAGGTGGCCCTTCCCTTGGCTTTGTTAGAGCCTTCTCAGCAGTGCCACAGGCCTCCAGAGACCCAGTGCTCAACCCGGTGGACTCTTGGCTTCTAGTAGGAGCCATCTCGGTTGGAAGGACTTAGAAATTTTGTGTATACACACACACACACACACACACACACAAACTGTTGTCCAGGTGCAGTGGCTAATCCCAGCACTTTGGGAGGCCGAGGTGGATGGATTGCTTGAGCTCAGAAGTTCAAGACAAGCCTGGGCAAAATGAAATGGCAAGACCCCATCTTTACAACAAAAATACAAAAGTTAGCCAGGTGGCGCAGACCTGTCATCCCAGTTACTTGGGAGGCTGAGGTGGGAGGTTAGCTTGAGCCTGGGAGGTGGAGGCTGCTGTGAGCTGAAATCGCACCACTGCACTCTAGCCTGGGTGACAGAGCAAGACCCTATCTCAAAAGAAAAAAAAACAAAGTGTGGATTTACCCTTCAGGAATCTCATCCTGTATTGAACTCCTGGGATAACGTTTAATGAATGAGATAGTCCAGATAAAGGCCCGAAGAGCAGTTTCCCTCATGAAGCAGGATGGGCCCTGTTCTATGGCCTGGGTGCCAGGGCGTGACCCTGCCCAACACACAGGGCTTCACTGCTGGCCAAATCATCCCCCTAGTTCGCATGGAAAGCAGTAGTTAGGAGACCACTGTGAAATTGAGGCTTTGGGGCTTTCATTCTCAGCTGTGTGTTTCCATGAAAACAGGAACTGAAATGCACAAAACTATTGATACGGCTGTAGTCATGTGTTTGTCAGAGAAAATGCACTATCAGCTGTCAAATCTATCTCCTCCCACTACAGATAGAGGGGTGGGGGTGAGGCAGCACAGGAGGCAGAGAGGCGAGGTGCCCAGGCAACCGGAAGCAGGGATGTGCTGGACGCTGCCCAGCAGGATGGTTCCGGACCGAGCTGGACGGGAATTCGGCCCGCCAGAGCAAGCTGAGGAGCCCTGGACCGCCAGCCCTGGAACCCAGAGGGCTGTTAGGTGGCCAGGCTGTGGAAGAGGAGGGGCTCTGGTGATACCTTTTCTGTTGCCATAGGAAGTCTCTTAGACAAAATGAAAGCTCCCTCAACCTGTCATCTCAATATCTGTTTCTGTGAGAGTATTTGGTTTTTCAGAAATGTATGGGCCAGAAAAATTCTCCCATTCAACAGGCATTTATTGAGTGCCTCCTACGTTCCAGGCACTATGCCAAAGCTAAGTAAAACCCAAGAGGGCTTTTCTTTGACCAGGATCTGAGTCAGGACTATAGCATGTAAGCTTTCTATTACACATCTAAATCAAGTGAAACCAGAAAGACCAAAACACACTTAAGAGTAAAAATCAGACTTCTCGTTCTTTGAAAACATCTAACACCTTAGAGTTAATTTGGGCCCGCTTGTTTTCCATTAGACAAGTTTCTTATTCAGACACTTGGGGATGGATCTCCCCATGTGCTAAAACAGACCGTGGGACGGCTTCTTACCTTGGAGGCAGCAAGGATGTCCGTTATGGTCAACTTGGTGCACAGAGTCTTGGTCCAGGCAGAAATGAGAGAGCAAGAGACAGAGTTAACCTCCAACTGGACAGAGCAGTCCTTGATGAGCATCTCTCACTCCCTCCAACTGAGGAAACTTCCTACAAACCCTCAGAAAAAAGAGTGACAGGGGAAGCCTGGCTGTGTGCCCCGGGCTGCCACCAACCACCAGTTCCAACTTCTCTAGCAACTGTTAACGTTTTCATGGCCTAGAAATACTGACAGCATCACCAGAACATCTGGAGAGATGGTGCCAGATAGGTACTCACCTTCTGCTCTGTGAGGCTGTTCAGAGTTTCGATGATCTCCCGTAAGGCGATATGGCAGTTGTGTCCGTGGGCAAAGTTGCCGGCACATGCTAGCAGGAAGAACAGAGGGGGAAGCAGTTGGGAGGTGAGACCCATTAATAGGTGTCAATTTGCAATGACAATGTGAGACAATTAGTTTATCAGGAGAAGCTAACGATGCAATGCTGACAAAGATATCTCTATATATAGATTTAAAATTGCTGAAACCGAGGGAAAATGAGTTTACATTGGAAATTTTCGTTACACCAGATTGTCAGTCACTTGGGGCCAATCAGCACCTCTCTTCCAGGAGAAAAAATGCCTCACAAACAGGTAAAATGTTCCTGTGAAATCAGACCAATAGGAAAATGAAACCTTTTTAAAAAAAATTAACTACAAAGTTTCAGCATAGGAAATTACACCATAATTTGCTCTTTAGATTAATCTTATCAGCTTGGGGCTGCTGCTGGCTTTTTGCTTTGCATAGAAGGGAGAGGCCACAGGTGTCCGAATTTGTTGTAATGCAGTCCTCCTGGGGAAAGATAGAGTAATATCAAGAAAGTTTGACTTGAAAAGTATTTTAACCTGGCTTCTTCCAAGTACAGGTGGTATCTTGGAAACTGTCCTGTCGTGGAAAAGCTGATCTGGGGCTCTTTCTCTGCGTAGAGGGAGAATAACAGGCAGACTCTCCTGCCCCAGCACTGGGGGACAATGTTCTCCCAAGTTTAGGTGTTTGAGAAGGACAGGCCACATCAGGTGAGGCCTAGTTTGGGTCCCAGCAGGTCCATAAGGTTCTTACCCATAAGGAAGCCCTTGGCAAGGTAAGTCTATTCTGAGGTTTCAGGAATAACTTTTTTTTTTTTTTTTTTTTTCTGAGACAGGGTCTCACTCTGTCACCCAGGCTGGAATGCAGTGTTGTGATCAGGGCTCACTGCAGCCTCGACCTCCCAGGCTCAAGTGATCCTCCCACTTCAGCCCCCCCGAGTAGCAGGTGCGTGCCACCACACCATGCCTGGCTAATTTTTATTTTTATTTTTTTGGTAGAGATAACAGTCTCACTATGTTGCCTAGACTCATCTCAAATTCCTGGGCTCAAGTGATCCTCCTACCTCAGTCTCCCAAAGCTCCGAGATTACAGGTGTGAGCCACCATGCCTGGCCAGGAATGCCCACTTTTTGAATGGAACCTAAACATATCCTCAGCTAATTAGGAAAAAGCTACAGTCTTATCAACTTACAAATCAGCTCTCCTTGTCAGTGCCCCACCACCCGCCCTGCTTGTTTTTTATTGAATTCATGTGGACACAATAAGGTGCTCATTGCCTCACCCCAGCCGTGAACGTAAGGATCCCACCATTCACTCAGGTGCCTGGGCCCTGTGCACAGCCCACCCAGCCTCCCAGTAAGGGCTCATGGGCAGCAGGATTATTGGGCCCTGCCTGTCCCCTGCTTTTCTCCCGGAACCTTCCCTTCCCTTCGTCTCTGACCTTCTTTTCACTATGAATTTCCTTTTTTTTTTTTTTTTTTTTTTGAGACAGTCTCGCTCTGTCACCCGGGCTGGAGTGCAGTGGCGCAATCTCAGCTCACTCCAAGCTCTGCCTCCTGGGTTCACACCGTTCTCCTGCCTCAGCCTCTTGAGTTGCTGGGACTACAGGCACCCGCCACCACGTCTGGCTAATTTTTTGTATTTTTAGTAGAGATGGGGTTTCACCGTGTTAGCCAGGGTGGTCTCGATCTCCTGACCTCGTGATCCGCCCGCCTCGGTCTCCCAAAGTGTTGGGATTACAGGCATGAGCCACCGTGCCTGGGCCTCCCTATGAATTTCTTCTGGAAGATCATCTAAAAATGTGTGTTGCTAAAGTGTTGCCTCTCTTCCACCCCCCCCGACCCCCTCCCCCACTCCCCCGGCCGCCACACTCTGTCACCCAGGCTGGAGTGCAGTGGTGATCATAGCTTACTGCAGCCTTGAACTCCTGGGCTCAAGGCATCCTCCAGCCTCAGCTTCCCGAGTAGCTGGGATTACAGGCATATGCCACCACGCCTGGCTAATATCTGTATTTATTTATTTATTTATTTTTTAAGTAGAGACCGGGTTTCACCATGTTGGGCAGGCTGGTGTCAAAGTCCTGGCCTCAAAATGATCCACCCACCTCAGCCTCCCAAAGTGCTGGGATTATAGGCATGAACCACCATGCCTGGCCAAGGTTTTGCCTCTGTTTTGGATCTTTTCTTCCCTCATTATTATTATTAAATTGACAAATAAATATTGCCTATATATTTAAGCTGTATGATATAATGTTTTAAAATGTGCATATGTTATGGAATTGCTACATCAAGCTAATTATACAGTACTTCACATATTTATTGTTGGTAAGAACATTTAAAACCTACTGTCTTTGTGATTTATGTGTTTACTTATTTTGAGGTGGAGTTTCACTCTGTTGCCCAGACTGGAGTGTGATGGCGCGATCTCGGCTCACTGCAACCTCCGCCTCCTGGGTTCAAGTGATTCTCCTGCCTCAGCCGCCCGAGTAGCTGGGATTACAGGTGCCTGCCACCACGCCCAGCTAATTTTTGTATTTTTAATAGAGACAGGGTTTCACCATGTTGGCCAGGCTGGTCTCGAACTCCTGACCTCAGGTGATCTACCCGCCTTGGCCTCCCGAAGTGCTGGGATTACAGGGGTGAGCCACTGCACCTGGCCTCTCTTCATGATTTTTAAGTATACAAAACATTGTTATCAACTGTTGTCACCATGTTGTACAGTGGCTCTCTTGAACTTATTCCTCCCAACTGAAATTTTATATCCTTTGACCAACATCTTCCTGATCACCACCCTCCCAGCCCCTGGTGACCATCATCCTACTCTCTGCCTCCCTGAGTGTGACTTTTTTTGATTTCACATATGTGTGAGATCATGTGGTATTTGTCTATCTGTGTCTGACTTTTTTCACTTAGCATAATGTCCTACAGGTTCATCCATGTTGTGGTGAATGACAGGGTTTCCTTCTTTTTTAAGGCTGTGTAGTATTCCACTGTGTATATATAGTTTTGGATCTTATCGCAGTGCCTCAAGTTCTGTGAAGGAGAGAATCTGGATAATTTTATCAGGAAGGTCCTTAGACCATATTTAGGATCCTTCCATTGGGACTGGGCAGCAGAGTTACCAAACTAAATGCAGTGGCTTCAGATGCCAAAGCACCTGCGATGAGCCACACCTCACAGGTGAGGGGTATGGTCCCCCACAACACTGCCCTCACTTCGGTTGCCAGCTGCACATTCAGGGGTCCCCAGCCCACCCTCACTGCTGACTGACTGGCTGCAAATCTGGGAGTTTCCACTATCCCTCAGGTTCCAGAATTCACTAGGATAACTGACAGAACTCAGGAGAGTGCTGTACATAAGGCCACAGTTTTATCATAACAAAAGAATTCAAATCAGAACCAGCCAAAAGAGGAGACACAGGGGCGAGATGGAGGAGGGGCCCAAACACAAAACTCTCATTGTCTTCCCCCTGTGGCATCAGAGGCATCACCTGCTCAGCACTTTGACGTGTGACAAAATGCTGAGTATTTCCAAGCATGTAGGCTCACTTGAGCTTTGGGGTCCAGAGTTTTTGAGTCTCATCATGTAGGTGTGGTTGATGGAATCACTGGCCACTGGGTTGAACTCATCTTCCAGATTTCCTTCCAGGAGGCCAGGCTGATATCACAAAACCTCAGTGGTGTGGCCAGCCCCTCCACGGTCATATTGTCAGCAAAAACTACCTAGGGCCCACCATGAGTCACTTCACTGGCATAAACTCTCAGGGTCCACCATGAATAATAAGATACTCCTATCACTTGGGAAATCCCTAGGAATTTGGGGCTACCTCCTGGGAACTGGTGACAAGGACTAGCCACATTCTTTACTCCAAGGGTTTGTAGCTGGTGGGACCTCCCAAGAGCTAGGACAAAGGCCAGACTTCTTGGGTAAAGTTGGTTCTTCGCTGCACACACTGGGGGAGAGTTATGAGAAGGGCAGGTGGTTGCTTCCAAGGCAGGTGGGGACTTTGAATCCGATGAACTATTATGTGGAATGAAGTAGAGCAGCGGTTCCAGTTAACACAGGAGGGAGCTCGTCAAGCTGCAGACTTGCTGGAGGGCTTCTGCCAAACAGGTTCTCAAGGAGAGTCGGGGGTGCAGAAGGGGAGCTGGTGGGGAGGGCAGGATTCTGGAGTGTCTGGCGGGCAGTGGAACAGCCATTTATGTGTCCAGCTGGTGTTTTTCTAAGCACCCACTAATGGGCAGAACCTGGGCTTGAGGCTCTGAGGGCAGAGCTGGTGAGTGAAAAGGGAATATTAGGTGGGCAGCTTTAGCTCAGAAGCAGAATCCAGCTTGTTTTGTTTGTGTCAATGGTGGAGTGGGGCCAAAGGTGAAAGGATAAACTGTCCAGAACATTCGAGGGTGACCAGGAGTCTCCCCAGAGGGCAGAAGTGGGGGATGGGCCATCCTCACCTGCAGGGACAGCACCATGGCAGGTGCGGCACGTGGGTAGAGAAGGGGAAGGTGGGTGCCTGCATTGTCAGGGCAATGACAGAGGAGGGCAGTGATCTCCACCACAACCACTGCGAAGGAGTCTCCGAGCCTGCAGGGCCATGGGCAGTGTCTTGGTAGGGTGTGGTGGGACGGGCACCAAAGTTCAGGAGGGAGGTTGAAGACTGTGCTGTCTCTGGGTGTGTGGGTCACAGGCCCCGTCCCCTTCTCTGTGTGAGAGCTGAGAACCGGCGCTGGCTCCTCTGTGGATGCAGAGTTTTCCCTTCAGGCCCTGGAACGTAGCAGTTATGAGCACTGGCTTAGGAGTCCAGCAAACGAGCCCTTGTCAACTCTGTGACCATGGATAGATCATTAACTCTCTCTGGGTCTTGGTTTTCTCACCTGTGAAATGGGAATAATGTGACTCTTCCTTGTGAGGAGCAAGTGAGCGGTTCCATGGAAAGTACTTGGCATGGGTCATCCAGAAAGGGCGTCTGTTAACAGAGGCTGCTGTAGCACACGGTGGCTAAGAGAGTGGACGCTGGGCCCAGGTGGTCTGTCAGGCCTGGCTGCTGTGCCTCCTGGCTGTGTGACGTTGGGCGCGCTACTCAGCCTCATCTGTGAAATGGAGGTCATAGCTGTCCCTGTCTCATGAAGTTGCTCTGAGGAATGAATACACTGAAGTTTTCAAGTATTTAGAATAGTGCCTGGCACACAGTGAGTGCTGTGATGATGATGACAGCTCATATCTTGAGTTGCTGGAATGACTGATGATGCTTCATCTATTAGGCAAGCCCAAGTCTGGACAGGGCAGTGGAGATCTGGCCAGACGGGCCCTCCGCACAGGTTCCTCCTGGATGTGCTCCTTCTCCGTCTTTGAGTTGCCGTCCTTGTTTCTGGTGGGTTGCCATCCTCACACTGCAGCCCGCCTGCTTTAGTATCTGGATTCATTACAGGGAACAGACACGGCTGTGGGTGCTTTAGTCAGGAAAGGATTTCATGCAGGAAAGTAGGTGCTTATAAGAATGTCAGGAGGGCTGGAGGGGCAGGCTCCAGGCTGGGCCCGGAACCCTAAAGACCTGACCCACTCGGTGAGCCACCCCTGAGGCTGTAGTGCCGGGATCCCAAAGTTGCTGCCTCTGCCGACCCCCTACACCGTGAGTCTGCTCCAGGACACCCCCACCTGACCCCCACACCGTGAGTCTGCTCCAGGACACCCCCACCTGACCCCCACACCGTGAGTCTGCTCCAGGACACCCCCACCTGACCCCCACACCGTGAGTCTGCTCCAGGACACCCCCAGTCTGAATGACCAAGTACATGGTGTCTGCTGCCCTCCCCTTCACAGCTTGTCAGCCTTCATCTAATTGGAGATGCCAGATGCTCGCCTCAAAGGAGTCAGAAACGCGGCACTCAACTCCGAGAAAGGAATGCAGGTCGCGCAATGCAGCCCAGTCTCCATGGGCCTCGTCCATTGATGCTTGCTGTCCCAGCCATTCCTGTGGTCCTTGAGTCAGGTGAATCTCACCTCTCTCCTCTTCTGTCAGTCCTGCAGGTCAGCACCCAGGAGAGTGCTTTCCAACCCCCACAGGCTTTGTCATGGGAAAACATGAGACTTCTCTGAGGGAGGGGCACTTAAGCAGAGTTAGGGATGAGCCGGCTTTAGCCAGGAGCAGGGGCTGCAGGGTGGGGTGAGTGCAGGCAGGGGACAGCCAGTGGAAGGCCCCGGGGGCACTGAAGAGAGGGCTCCCAGGAGGGGAGCATGGGCTGAGGGGACCCAGCCAGAGCACTGCAGGCACCCGTGACAGAGGCAGCTGGCCTGAATCAGGTGGGACGGTGGCAGGGAGAGCTGTGGGCTCTTGAGTCATTTGTCCCAGCACAGTGTCCAGGTTAAGACCTGGTGTCCTGGTGCCCATGGGACCTGGCTGGTTCTGAATCCCAGCTCTGGGTTACCTTGGAAAAGTTCCTCTGTCCAGGCTTCTCTGTAAAACTGGGCTGATTACAGGGGCAAGGGAATACTATAGAAGGTGACAAATATGAAGTGTTTGGTGTGGTGACTGACATGTCGCAAGCCCTCAGAAAATGCCATCTATCACCATCACCACGACCATCATCATTAATAGCACTTGGAAGTGACTGAATGTGGGGATGAGGGAGAGCAGGAGGTCGCAGGTGGCCCCAGGTCTCTGGCTTGGGGAGGAGGCAGGGGAGGAGGGCAGGCGGCAGGTGGGAGCCACCAGCTAAGGGGCTGCTGCGGGCCATGCTCTGAGCACCGGGGAGGGTCCAGCCTGCAGGCAGTAGACATGGAGGTTGACTAAGCTGCGGGAAAGAACACAGTGTTGCTGGAAAAAGGGGTCCTGGTTCAGACCCCAAGAGAGGGTTCTTGGATCTCACACAGGAAGGAATTCAAGGCGAGGCGTGGAGTGCAGTAAAGAAGGGATGGTTTATTGAAAGCAACTCAGAGTAGGTTATTCTCAGAAAGCACGAGCAGGAATGCTTCATCTGCTAAAGGTTTTTCTTATATAGGGGTCTTGTCTATACAAAAGCCAAGCTAAGTTATGTCTGTGTGTGGGTGGGCTGACAGTGTCACAAAATGTAGTACTTTGTTGATTTAAAGAACGTTTTATCCTTGGCCTTTTAGTGAGTAAGTACATCAAAGCATTACTGTAACTATCTTGAAAGCATATACTGTTATGAGACATCAGGACACCCGGACATTCTGCTGTTGTGGGAGTTTGTCCTTGCGGGCATGACTAAACTGCTTCCTTGGCATAAACATCTCATGACCATGGGTGGTGACTGGCAAGGAATATACCTAGCTAGTTTTAAGATGGAGTCGATTTTAAAATGGTGTCACCCTGGCTCTCCTCTGTTCCTGTTGACCTAACAATATGGCCAGGGGGTGAGAGGAGACAGGGGACAAGAAATGAGCCAGGGGACTCCCATGACGCTGGAAGGTGATGATGCAGGGCGCAGAGTCCTGGCGTGAGAGAGGCCCAGAGAGGAGGAGCAGTGGTCAGTGGCAGCGATGTTCCTCGTAGGTGAGGCTAGATAAGGAAAGACACACGTTGCTGCACAGAGTGATGAGTTGATAATCAGTGACCTCATGAAATGTCTGAGTGCAGTGGGGGCACAGGAAGGGGCCAGATGAGGTGGAACTCGGTATGGGCATCTGGGAGGGCAGCTGTGTTGGGCTGCAGGCTGCATCGGTGGTTGACAGCTGTGTTCTGAATGGGACACAATCAGCACAGGCTGCCCTAGCTCAGTGAGTGGCAGCTCCGTCCTTGCAGTTGTTCACACACAACACAGGAACACCTCACACACTCACCTCCAGGCCATCCCAAAGCCTCTCCCTTCACTGATGTGACATCTCGGATTGGTGTTGGTGGGGAAGGGACAGGGGTAGAGATGGAACAAAATTGACAAAATTGGCCATGAGTTGCTCATTGTTGACGCTGGGCAATGGATGCTTGGGAGTGACTTTTGTGTATATTTGAAATTTTCTGTAATAGAAGATTTTCAAAATGTAATTGCATAGCAGATATAAATAATATTAACATATATGCACATTTATATATTATATATCTATACTTTATGCATTATATAATATACTGTTTAAGTAAATAATATATACAGTAGTAGTATAATGTATACATGTATCTTACACACACGCCCCTCTCCAGTCCTCCACTACCACACGCACCATCGCTCCCCACCAGCATCTCTGCGGGAGCCTTGGTGCTCATCTCTCTGTTTCGCACTCGCCCCCACATTGCGTTCTCCACACAGCAGCCACGGTGACTTTGTTAAAATGTGAGTCAGACTGGCAGGGCGCGGTGGCTCATGCCTGTAATCCCAGCACTTTGGGAGGCCGAGGCGGGCGGATCACGAGGTCAGGAGATCGAGACCATCCTGGCTAACACGGTGAAACCCCATCTCTACTAAAAATACAAAAAATTAGCCGGGTGTGGCGGCAGGCGCCTGTAGTCCCAGCTACTCGGGAGGCTGAGGCAGGAGAATGGCGTGAACCCAGGAGGTGGAGCTTGCAGTGAGCCAAGATTGTATCACTGCACTCCAGCCTGGGTGACAGAGCGAGACTCCGTCTCAAAACAAAACAAAAAAAAACAAATGCATGTCAGACCACATCACTCCATCCCACTTAAAGTGAAGCCTAGTCCTGGCCTCTGAGGTCCTGCTGGGCTCCTGCTGCCCTCGCCACAGGTTCTACTCCAGCCCGAGGGTCACCCGTGAGTGCTGGGAAGGGCATCCCCAGCTTGCTCTTGCTCAAGACCTTAGCAACTGCAGTTCCCTTTCCCTTTATGACTTTGCTCCCATCTGTGCACGGCTGTCCCCTCCCCTTGTTTCATCCCGATCTCTGTTCTCATTTTATCGCATGGGGAGGATTTCTCCAACCTTCCCGTGTAACACGGCGCCCTCCCTGCCGTGCAGCCCCGGTCTGTTCTGTCTCCCTCAGGAGTGGTTACCACCGCCCAACACACTGAGTGCTCTCTTGTTGGCTTAGTCTGTCTCCCTGCTAGAAGCAACCTTGTTTTATTTAGTGGACCCACAGCACCTAGAACAGGGTCTGACACCCAGGCCAGGCCTCAATCCATACTTGTCGAATGAATGAGTGGAGCTCCATTTCCACGGAGGCACTGAGATGTGGCTGAAGTAACAACACTAGAAGTCAGGGATACAGCTGGGGCTGGTTTCACCCTGAGCTGTATGTTCTGCCTGTGTCCCTGAGAGGGGAAGGGATGGGACCCAGAGCACAGTCACATGGAGGGCCTCATCCAAGGGCACAGGGACCGAGGGGAGGAGGGAGCTGAGGCAGGCAGGCAGTGGTGTAGACTGCTTTGCAGAGCTGTGGGGAAGTAGCTCTGCAGGCCACTGGCTTCTCTTGCCTTTCAGAAGCAGGTGGAAGGTCCTTTTCCCAAGAGAGGCAGAGCTGCTGAGGAGGCTGCAGGAATGCGCCATCTGTCCCTGTAGTGTTAATGTCACTTCAGCCTCAGAGCTAGATGGGCGGCCCACCCTTTCCCTTCCCACTCCCACTGGCTCCTGTGCCCTGGCAGGCCAGGGCCTGGCGAAGACCCCCAAGAAGGCAGCACCTTCCTCTGTCTTTGACAATGCAAGATCTGATGGGTCCAAGAGTGCCAGCCCGTGGGAGTTGCAGTGCCAGGCCTGCCTGGCTGAGCGGCTGCCTTGCAGGCCCCTGCAGACCCCCCCTCCTCTCCTGAGGGGGCCGGCTCCTGAGGGAGGACTTAGGCTGGTCTGAGGGGTGCTGGTGCTGGTCCAGCAGGGGGATGCTGCAGCCAGGTCTCCTCACCAGCCTGTCTCAGTACATTCCCTCCATGATGCAGACATCACGTTCATGTTCTTTTTGCTTTTTTAAAATGAAATTTATCTTTGTCTCCCATTGGAAAATGAATGCATGCTCATTATAGAAAATGTGGGAACAGATCAGAAGAAAGAAGAGTAAATAAAAATTGCTTTTTCTAATGTGGCATCACCACAGCTCCTCTGGCACAGGGTCCTGGGCTGGGCAGGGAGTCATGGACCATGTGGCCAACTGGCCATCGGGCTGTGGGTCTACAGGGGATGCCATGGGTGGCTCAGGCCTTCCTCCCTTGAGGGTTTGGGGAAGTGGTGCCGGCCCCCGCACGCTTGTCCGTAGTGATGCAGAGAGCGGAGCTGACAAGAGTTGCTATATTTAATTTTGGTGCCTGCGTCACCTCTGACCACACAGCAGCGTCTACCGGGGCAGGCAGCACATGGCTGGGGGTGTTTCTGAACGACACTGTGAGAGAATCACTTTCCACAAGAAAAGGTATAGTGGAGGGGAAGGGAGAGACAGCAACAGAAAGTGAGGTCGTAAGTAGAAAATTACTTCTGGGATTTCAAATGGCTTTGTCATGGGGCCCGCCCTTGCTGCTGAGAAATCAGTTGATCTGGGAAAGTTTGTTGCAAACCCTTGCCCTCTTGCTTTTGGGTGGAGCTGAGAAATGAATGAAGATAATGGGGCTTTATGAGTGTGGGGGAGGGCAGCTGAGGAGACAGCACCAGTCCTGACCCCAGCTTGGACCCCTAGAAAGGCCAGATAGGAGCTGACCAGCGTGTCCCTGGCCAGGCAGTCCTGTCTGGAACATAGTCAGCCTGGCCCCAGCCGGGCCTCCTTAGAAGGGAGGCAGGCGAAGCGGGGAACAGGTTTGCAATGTGTTACCATGGACCAGCTAGATGAAGGTCATAAGCAGAAGACGTTTCTCTTTGACCATAATGAAAAAGTGATAAGCCGCTGGGCCAGATGAAGTCCAGACTTCAAGCTGCTGCCTCTGTCACAAGGAAATAAGAGATGGGCCTGGTCCCCCTGGGGCCTGCTCCTTCTCGTCCTGCGCGGGACAGGGGGCCAGCCTCGGAGAAACCCGCCAAGTGACTGGGAGTGTTTTCTGACACCTCATCTGAGCAGCAAACTGAGGTGTTTGGTTCACCGGAAACTCGCGTGTATCTCACTTCTCACTTAAGCCCAGCCCCTCTTCCAGTGAAACCTCCTGGGCTGGGGTTCCCGAGGTGCCAAGGGGCTCCCCGACCTGGGCCCCATGGTCAGCTTCTTCCTCCCACTCACCAAGCACTCTTCTCCCTTTTCAACCCCCCTCTCTCTGAGCCCTGCTGAGGGCTTGCCTTGTTTATGAAAGAACTTAGGCCACGTGGTTAGAGAAAACTCCCAGCAAACACCGCCAGGGGTCAGTCCCCAGGGAGGGAGGTTCCCAGCCACAGTTGCAGCCACTGACACTTACCTACCTTGTTCTGTCTTCCTTTCTCATTCCTGACAGGGCCCTCTCCCTGTCGCCACCAGCTGCAGCTCGGTTCTGTGGCTCCGTAAGGCATCCCTCATCGCTGGAGAGCCCCATGCCCTCTCCAGCACAGGGTGCACTGCCAGTGACCACAGGCCCCCTTCCTGGGGGGCAGCCTGGAAGGTGTGAGAGACAGGAGCTCCACAGTGGCTGAGGAAGTGGCAAGCTGCAGACCCCTAGTGGTGGGGCCCGGGACGGCCGTTGGCCGTCCGCACTGTGCACCTGCCTCACAGGCCGTCCTGAATGTGTGGCTCAGAGCAGGGCCTTGGAGGATCCTGAGGAACTCTGCCCCACATCAGTCTCAATTCCAGTCTTTGTTCTTGAAGGAGTCACGTGGAATTTCACTGGAAGGGTTTCCATCTTCTTTCTGGATAGGCAGGGCAATACTTTGGCTGGCAGAGAGGACATGGGTCAAAGATGGGAGATGGATTGCTAGGTCCTGTTTACAAAGTCATTGCCCTCCATAAATATCCTTCCAGCCTTAAACCCTAGACTCAGAATGCCGAGACCCTGAATCCCACCCACCTCCTCTGGCTTCCGAGACTCTCCCACCCTCCGCGGAAGCAGCCGCTGCTCACCTCCAGAGGGGAGGCCCTCCCGAGGGAGGACATACAGCTCCCCGCAGCAGACCCTGGTTGTGTCTACAGAGTTCTTTCTGGGGCTCAACCTGGAGTGCATGTGGTGTCTTGGTTGTCACTAGCCCAGATGTCTGCTGTGGTGGTCCCCTGCAGGTATTCCCTCAGCAAATGTGACAGGACTTAATAGGCTTGGCACCAGAGAGCTGGTCCTGTCCCCTGCCCGGGACAGCCTGCTGGAGACCCAGCTCTTGCACCACCACCCTCTTCACCCCCACAGTCTTCTCTCCTCTGGGCCAAGTGTCCCCTGCCCCTGCACTGTCGGGTTTGCCTTCTTCCCTTGCCTCTCCGTGGGGAAAGTGAGTGGTTCTGGAGTAGCTGACTGCCATCATCAGCCCCCTGGTCAACTCCCTGCCATGTCCTCTGCTGTTGCGTGAATGACACAGCCGTGAGCAGCAGAGGGCGGCTGCCTTCAGGGACTTCTGAGCATCACTGTGGTGTCCCCGTGGGGCTCTGGGCTCCCCAGGGAGGGCACCTGCCTGCCACTACAAGTTTGAGACTGGTCCTTGATGACTATCACCCACTGCAAAGGCATCCCATCCTGGAGTCACCCTCTGCCCTGGGCACCTCCCAGAGAGTCACAATGAAAAACGTTGCTGACGGGCATGGCCTGGAGCTGTGGCTTGGTAAGGCCTGCTGGTCTCTGCACTCCAGCTGCTGGCCAGGGCCAAGGGAGAAGCAACAAGAGCTGCTGAGGAGTGGCCTAGCCAGAGCCCTGTTCACAGAGGCGGTGCGTGTGTGCACCTTAATGGTGAGAGCTGTCCAGAAAGGCAATGGGCTGCCTCTCAAAAATAGTAGGGAACTCGCTGTCAGTGAGATGGCCCAAACAGGTTGATGACAATCTTACAGAGGGAAAAACTCCATTCAGGACAGGTGACATTTGGACAGAAATAGGCAGGGTGGTTAAGTGTGTGGGCTTTGGAGTTAAAGTGAGTTTTGGGCCCCAATCCCAGCTTTGCTTCTTTACCTCAGATGAGCTCTGAGGCCCCAGGACCCCAGTGAGGAAGTAGCTAT